CCAACCTACTCTCTATACATCTAATCTCTTAGGCTAGGATAAGCAAATCTCTTATTTGATTCATTCAGGCAATTCAACAAACACTTACTAGGCATAAGTGAACCCTAGGATCTAGATCAACTTAGCAAGGGTTAATCTTGCATTATGAACATTAATAAGAAGGGAAATGAAAGAAGTAACATCAAGCAATCACTAATCAAGCATCAAACTCCCTCAATCTATCTCATCTCAAACCCTAAACAAACTACTCACTAAACATGGTTTCAGCTATAAACCCAATCAAAGGAAGATGACTAGTCATGATTAGAAGGAGAAGAAACAAAGATTTAGATTAAATAACAAGGATTTAAGGCAGAAATTCAAGATTACAAAGAGAAATACAAAGGATAGAGCTATTGTCTAAAGGATAAAAGATAGTTCCCTAAAAATTGGGTCTTTACATGTTTATAGTATTTCAGAAAAACTCTTAGTAAACCAGGAATAAACTGGAAATCGGTTGGTTTGGAGGGGTTGTATCGGCTTGACTGGCCGATATTGTGCTCGATATTGCTCGCTTGAAGGGCTGTATCGACCAAGGCTGGTCGATACGCTGCTCGGTACAACCGCCAGGAGTTAAGGCTTACCGGGGTAACCAGCTCGATACGTTCCCCGGTGATATATCATGGTTTTTAACCATGGTATAAGTCCTTTTTATTGAGTCTTTTTGGTCTTTTTAGAGTCCTAGTAGAGTTTTTGTAAGTTATAGCATGTATGGAGCATAATTGGAGATATTGAAACATTTTGGAGCATTGCAAGATGAAGCCACGAAGTGTGCAACTCGAGAAGAAAAGTATGGATTTGGGTGACGTTCGTCACCCGTAGAGGAAGGCTCATGGCTGATTTATTAAAATATTGAAGATTATTTGCAGAATTGGCCCAGAAGTTCCAGTTTTTGCAAGAACACCCCAGATCGTGTTTTAGCTTGTATATATAGGTTTTCAGCCATTGTTGGCTTTTATCTTAGTTTTTGAGAATTCAGAGAGCTTAGAGAGGATTTTATTCAGAGCTTTTGGGGAGACAAATCCTGTACTCTTTTTGGAGAAGATTTCGAACCCCCTTTGTTTTAATTTCATTCTTTCACTGCAATTTTATTCAGTTATCTTTTGTGATTCCATGATCATGTCTGAGTAATTGGCTAGTTAAGTTAGGGATTTTCAAAAGTTGATGAAGAGTTTGTAGAATTGCTATCTGTTAGGATTATCTTTTGGTTCTTCATCTCTGCTTGCTTGAAAATCGATTTCTTAGACACATCATCTAGGAATCCGAAAATCATAGGTTGTTTAATAGATGTGAGAGCATTATTGATAATCTGATCTAGCATTAGATGAGCAAAAAAATTTAGTGCAAAGAGATTTGGCTTAGGAATTTTGTGAACAATTGAACCTGATCATTACTGCATGTTTAGATTGTTAGGTTTTGCAAAAAGATTTGAAACTCTGTGATTTAGATATAGTTAACTTCTGCAATGAGAATTGATTAGTTATATATTTACGATTCATGTTCAAGACGGTTCTTAATCATTCCTGATTTCATGCATTTTACATTCTCGGATTCAACCTGCGAACTGGCCTGACTTAGCGCTTTTAGTCTCCTAAAATTTAGATCAACAACCAAATTTCGTTTGCTTTCTTTTAATTTGTCATTTGCATTATATACACTATTTATTGCTTAGCTCAATCTGAATCTGAAATCGCTAGTGTAGTTTACATACTCCTTTGGGATTCGATACCCCTTATACTACGACTGCTTTGTTGTGCACTTGCAGAAGTTTTTATTTGGGTAAAACCTGAGTCCTATCACCCGGTACACGCCTCTTACTTTGTATCGACTTACTCCTTGTAGATATGTAGACCAGTACAGATGTCCCGAAGAAGAAGCATCGAGTAGAGTAGCTCGATACACAGCCATGTATGTCACCTGGAGTTAAGGCATACTGGGGTGTATGCTCGATACATAGGTCGGTATGAGTGATAGAACTCTGCATCGGTTTGTCCTGTCTCACTTGTATCGGCATGGAGTCCCGATACACAACCTAGTACAGTCACTTAGCCTTGTATCGACTTGTGCACGTCGATATGCTGCTCTGTATGCCTCGTATCGGCCAAGTAGACTGATATACTGCTCGATATGGACCCTTCTAGCCTTAGTTCTCTCCTTTGATCACTCCCAAAACTCCTCATAGCCTTTAAACACCTCAATTGTACCTGTCAAGTGCTCAAAATGCACAAAACATGCAATACAACTCCTAATTGTACTCTAAGTCTTAAATGGATGCAACTGGGACAAGAGCATGCAAAAAAAGGATGCTTAAATACTGAAATTAATGCTAAATATATGCATATACTGGAGTAAATATAGTGTATATCATCATAAAAACATCATATTCGCACATGCGTGCAGTCCAACTACCTAGTTATATGTAATAAAAAATTATTTTGAGAAAAATAAACAGATAACTATAATTTGGGAATCGAGTAGAACACGTATAGTAGCAGACGTTGAAGACAGCCAACCCAACTCAAACTAGTGTGCTTACTCCATTTTTAACTCCAAAATGCCATTTTGGAGTAATTTACTCTCTAACCTTACTCTATTTTCTACTCCAAAATAGAGTAAACCTAAATTTTACTTCATATTTAGAGTAAACCTAAATTCTATTTCATTATAAATTTGAACTTTTTTTATTTACAAACTGGTCCTTTAAATATTAAATAATTTATTTTATACTATTTAGTATTTATAAATATTATAAGACAGATAACTATTAATAATTTAACATTAAAATTATTTTAAAAATGGTAAAATAAAATAAACTTAAAAATTCATAACAAATGCTGAAATTCAATAAGTAACATAGATAAATTTAACACAACAAATACAATTTTTAATAATTCCATAAATCGCTTCTTGATCCACCAATTCATTCAAAAATTGTCCAAGTAAAGTTATTTTACATGATATAATGACTACATGTGTGATTTTACATAACATGATAATCAAGGATGAATACGATTCGGGAAGTACCAGTTGGAGTTGAAAGAGAAATTGTATCTTCAGACGTCCAAATAGCAGATGATGATAATATCTGGTTTCAAGAGTTTTTTATCTGTTTAGAAAAATCAAAGATAAATAGACTTATCTTTTACTTCGAAATGCATTGATTAATTATTATGAGAAAAATTTAGCAATGGTAATATTTAAATAAAAATTGCTTATATTTTTATGATATTATATAATTTGTTTTATTTAATAAATATTTAATTCATAATTTATAAAAGTTTTATAAATATCAAAATAAATAGGTTTATTTGTTTTCGGTTATAGTAAAACCAGCACCTTCTCCGTCGCCTTTCTCCCCCTCTGTGAGAAATGAATGATGAAAAACGAGAAACCCTGAGATATATCATCTCCCTTGCAGAAATTCGCAGGTCCTGATCCATTCCAGGCCCTGTTCGTTTCTGGATCTAGATATTGTATCTAGATTCAGCATCTGGATACAATTTTCAGATACAGCATTTAGATATTGTTCTTTTTAAAAATTAGGTTTTGCATTTGAATACAACATTTGAATGCAACATTGTTCTTTTGTGTATTTATAAAAAATTATGAATGCAAAATATCTCAAATGTCCAAAAGAGTATATTTTCAATTTATTAATTTTATCTATATTTTTGATTTATTTTAGCGAAAAAACTCAATTTTGCAATGTTAACAAAAAAAGAATTTTACGGTCTTGTCGGAAAAATACCAGTTTACATTTTTAGCGGAAAAACTCGATTTTGCGGTTTCCACTGAAAAACACGGTTCGGCAGAAAAACATGATTTTGGCAGAAAATTTTGATTTTTCGGTTTTGACGGGAAAACTTAATTTTCAGGTTTTGACGGAAAAACATGATTTTACGATTTTGATGAAAAAGCTTGATTTTTTGTTTTGACGGGAAACTCCAATTTTCGGTCTTGGTAGGAAAAACATGATTACTCGATTTTTGCGGGAAAACTCGATTTTCCGGTTTTGACGGAAAAACTTGATTGGTTTTAGAAGGAAAACTCGATTTTCCGGTTTTGACCGAAAACTTGATTTTTTGGTTTTGGTGGGAAAAACCTGATTTTACGGTTTTGGCGGAAAAACCTGGTGTTACGCTTTTGGCGAAAAAACTCGATTTTCCGGTTTTGACAGAAAAACTTGATTGGTTTTAGAGGGAAAACTCGATTTTCCGGTTTTGACGGAAAACTTGATTTTCCGGTTTTGGCGGGAAAACCTCATTTTATGGTTTTGGTGGAAAAACCTGGTTTTATGTTTTTAGCGGGAAAACTCGTTTTTCCTGTTTGCATGGAAAACTTGATTTTTTGGTTTTGGCGGGAAAACCTGATTTTACGGTTTTGGTGGGAAAACCAGGTTTTACGCATTTGGCGGGAAAACTCGTTTTTTCGATTTTGACGCAAAAACTTGATTCTTCAGTTTTGGTGGGAAAACTTAATTTTCCGGGGTTTGACGGGAAAACTTGATTTTCTTGTTTTCACGGAAAAACTCGATTTTTCGGTTTTGACGAAAAAAATTGATTTTCTGGTTTTGGTGGGAAAACTTGATTTTTTCCAGTTTTGGCGGGAAAACACGATTTTCTAATTTTGGCGAGAAAAAATTATTTTGCAGTTTTGGTGAAAAAACACAATTTTATATTTTACAGTTAAAAATACTATTTTACGGTTTTGTCTCGTAAATTGTATTTACGATTTTAATGGAAATTATGATTTTACTCTTTTTATTTTATTATTTTGGTAAAAAAGTAATAAATATAAGTATAATTGCATTCTTTGTATTATATTAAATGATATTTTGGTTTTTTAGTTTTTAAGACGGGAATACTGCATCGAGACTACTATCTCAAATATCTAGATTTTTGAGATATTTTTTATTTTTGTATATAAATATAATATTTAGATGTTGGTTTTAAAATGGTCAAAAAGCAATATTTGAGTATTTGCATCAACATATACCATCCGAATAAAAAAACGAACAGGGCCCCAGTCTTCATCAATTTTCGTTGGATCTGGTCTCAGTAATTGCATTCGTTCTGCTGTGGTTAGCTTCGTCACCCAAAGCGAAGCTTTAATCGCAATTCACGCCTCCATCTAACCGGTACGCGGATGAATTCTCTTGCTCTCCTTACATATCTCTCAATCCGATTACTGTTGATTTTTCTGGGTTCTTCATTGGCGTAGCCAATTGAATCAATTGAATTTCTGAGTTCGATGTATTTCTTATTGGGGGTCTTCGAAATTTCTATGAATCTAATCGAATTGCTCATTCCTTTTCGAGTGATTTGTTGGGATGTGTATTTTCTTGTAATTGGATTTATATTGGTATATGCAATTTTTTTGAATGTTGCTTTTGATTGAAGTTTTACTTGATCTTGACTTGACTCGCCTCTCTGTATTTTCCCTCGAGGTATTAGGTAGATTATAGGTCAATGGCATTGTATATTACAGTTTAGACTAGTTATTTCGTAATTGCATCCTTAGATTGTTATACTTGAATTTGCAATCATGTTCTTGATCATCTGGTTTCGGTTAGAGCAGTTTCTTGATCTTCTGGTTTCTATTACAGCAGTTTCTTGTATAAATGCGTATTGCTTAATTGCATTTATATTGGTATGAGAAATTTTGTTTAACGTTGCTTTTGATTCAAGTTTTACTTGATCTTGACTTGACTCTCTGTATTTTGTCCCGAGGTAATAGATTAGGTTTCGTATTGCTTCCTTAAAATGGCTGGACTTGAATTTTCAATCAAATTCTTGATCATCTGCTTTCGATTACAGAAGTTTCTTGATCATCTGGTTTCTATTACATCAATTTCTTGATCATCTAGTTTCGATTACAGCAGTTTCTTGTATATTAGTTTTTCTTGTCACAATCTCATTGCTTAGGCAAAATTTTGTTGAATGTTCCTTTTGATTGAAGTTTTACATGATCCTTAAGGACTTGCCTATCTGTATTTTATATATACAGTTTAGACTTGTTATTTCCTTAAAATAGTTGGAAATGAATTTGAAATCAAGTTCTTGATCATCTGGTTTCAATTACAGAAGTTTATTGGTCGTCTTTTGGTAGTTATAATGGCGTCAGGGACAATGGGAGGAGGCGGAGGCTTATCGGAGGTATATAGTAGCGCGAAGAAGATTCTACTTAAGGCTCGCTACGGAATCGAGCGGTTGGAGAGGTTCGAATCAGCTCCTATGGATTCTCCCGATCTGTCCTCCTCTGTGAAACGAGACATCACCGAGGTCCAATCTCTCTGCTCTAACATGGACGCTCTCTGGCGCTCGATCTCGGTTAAATCGCAACGTGATCTTTGGAGAAGGTCAGTACAAATCTTGATTTAAGTTCTTGATTTGGTTTTTCTTAAATCTTGTTATGTTGAAATCACAAGCGTTGTTGCAGAAAGACTGAACAAGTGGGAGAAGAAGCTGAGTATCTAAACCAAAGCTTGGAAAAATACATGTCGAGGAATCAGCGAAAGATGCTGGAAGCTAAAGAGAAGGCAGATTTGTTAGGCAGAGCGAGCGGAGAAGGAGCACACGTTCTGCAGATATTCGATAAGGAGGCTCAAGCAATGAGCTCTGTGAAGAACTCAAAGAGAATGCTTGAAGATTCGTTTGCAAGTGGAGTTGCTATACTCTCCAAATACGCTGAGCAAAGGGATCGTTTAAAGGTAAACTAAAAACCGAAAGAAAGCTTAATCAAAAGCTTAAAATGTTGTGTAACATTGGTTTGTTTTGATTCTCAGAGAGCACAACGTAAAGCTTTGGATGTTCTGAACACAGTAGGGCTCTCAAACTCGGTACTGAGGCTTATTGAGAGGCGAAATCGTGTCGACACATGGATCAAATACGCCGGTATGATCGCGACACTTGTCATTTTGTATCTTTTCATTAGATGGACACGCTAAACCTAAGAGAAGTGAACGACTTGCCTACACAGATTCTATGTAGAGTAGAAAGAGTCATGTGACTTTGATCTTAGGATGATTTGCTTACTAAGCATTTCGTATTGTTTAGGCCTCTTTACAAGATATTGATATACTGTAAGGGTTGGCTGCTTAATCCCCCCCTCAACAATATTGGTTCTGCCTAATCTCACCCAAACTTTGAAGCTCTTGATTTTACCACATAAACTCTAATATATGTAGAGTAGAAAGAGTCATGTGACTTTGATCTTAGGATGATTTGCTTACTAAGCATTTCGTATTGTTTAGGCCTCTTTACAAGATATTGATATACTGTAAGGGTTGGCTGCTTAATCCCCCCCTCAACAATATTGGTTCTGCCTAATCTCACCCAAACTTTGAAGCTCTTGGTTTTACCACATAAATTCTAATATTTGATTACGAAACCACCTAAACTTTTTTGCTCTATCTAATTACACCTAACAAACTAAAATCTTTTTATTGCGATCAAATCATGTAAACCGCGTTTAATCAAAACAACGTTTGCCCGCCCATCCATAATAACCAAACCCGAGCCCATAATCGAGTTAAACCGATCCAATTCATTTAGAAAACCCAACCCAGAATCCAATTCATTTAGAAAACGAAATCAAAATCGAATTGGGAATTAGGTTCGTGATTCTATTCATCGCCACAAACCCAGAAATAGAAAGACGAGAGAGACGAGATAGAGAGAAAGAGAGACGATACATCGAGAAAGAGAGCGGCGAGACAGAGAGAAAGAACAACGTGAGAAATCCAGAAATTGTTGTGTTAGAATGGGAAATTAAATGCAATTGTTCTGAGGTAAGAACTCGATTCCTTGCAATGTTACTGTTTACCGTTTTGTCGTGATAGATTGCTTTTCAAAAGGGAAAAAATTACATGTTAGCTCTCGTTAGTTTCTCTATGTGTTATGTTGAATAAATATATTTGTTGTTGTTTTTCTTGTTTCAGGGAAAGCATGAAAGAAGAAGATAATGGAAAAGCATGGGCAAAATATCCGTTATATCTGCTTCGAACCGGTATTTGCTTCGATCCGATTTAAAAAATCCGAATATCTGTAAAGCTTCGGAGCAAAACAAATAGCAAAATATAGTATCCTTACAAAACGGAGCAAATCACAAATATATTTTTAGACAACGTCAGATATCCGATCCGATCCGTATCTTTATAAATTATTATATATTAGTATATAATATCATGTATATATCAATTATATTATAATTTTTATTAATATACTTTCGATTTTCTTCCTAAATTTTCAACTTTTTCTAAATTCTTTTGATTATATAAAATAAATGACTAAATAACCAATTATAAAAATAAATAATATGTTTAAACTTAAAATATGTTAATAAATAATATTTTATTTGATATTAGTTAATAAATATCAGCAAAGGTTTTTTCGTAAAGTTTAATATTAAAATTTCAAATACTTAATATTATTTTTAAATATAAAATATCATTTTTTCCTCATCTTAATTTTGTAAGTTTATTTTTTATAGATTTTTTATAAGATAAAATGTTTTCTTTTAGTTATTTTCACTTAATAGTTTAGATGAAAAATATTTTTTTTTATAATAAAAATTGATGTACTTTCAGTTTTGCGTATATTAAACGGATCAAACTAAATATTCATAAATATCCGTAAATATCCGCAAATATCCGCAAATACTTGTAAATTTTCCGGATATCCGAAAATCCGGATATCCGTATATTTCCAGAGCAAATCAAATCATAAAATTAAATATCCGTTAAAAACAGAGCAAACCACAAATACTTAAAAAATTTTGGATAACCGATCCGCGTCCACCCCTATTTTTACTTATTAAACCATGATCCATTACACAAGACTTAGACATAACAAGCTATTTGACCCCAAAAAAAAGACATAACAAGCTACAATGGGTTCATATCATAATCTTTAACATAACAATTCACAACAATATTCAGACCACATTTAAAACAAGATTCTTACCATAAATCCATAACAGTAAAAACTAACCCATAATCCATAACCCACAAATAATCATTGAAGCAGCAATAATCTTTAACCCACTTTCTGCATTGTTTTCTTTGCCATCTCTGTTGCTAATTTTTCCATTGTTGCATTCAGAACCACAAGCTCGGACTTAATCTTCTCATCTACCTTCTGTTTCATCTCTTCTTCAATATTGCTAACCATTGTTGTTTGAATCCCCACGTTTTCTATAATAGTTCTGATATCTCTTTGTGAACCGTCTCTCTCTTCTCTCAGTTTCTCTCTGTTTCGTCTATCTCTATCTCTTCTTTGTCCAAAACAATGAAGAACCCTTATCCCACTTTTAATTTTGACAATTTTTTCAGTCAAGTTTTTTATTTACAAAGCTCAGGTTTTTCATTTAACAACGGATTCTGGGTTGGGTTTTCTAAATGAATTAGATTATGGGTTCGGTTTAACTCGATTCTGGGCTCGGGTTTGTTGTTGTGGGTGGGCGGGCAAACACTGATTTGATTAAACGCGATTTACATGATTTGATCGCAATTTAAGGATTTTAGTTTGTTAGGTGTAATTAGACAGAGCAAAAAAGTTTGAGTGGTTTTGTAATCAAATGTTACAGTTTGTGTGGTAAAATCAAGAGCTTTAAAGTTTGGATAGGATTAGGCAGAACCATCATTGTTGAGGGGGAATTAAGCAGCCAACCCAAGTTGAAATTGTCAAAATAGAACTTAAATTACTTATATATCCTCCTTTTTCATTTGCTCTTTGTTTATGTCAATTAGTTTTCTTCTATTCTTTTAAGATATTTTTTTTTTTGACATCTTGAATTTTATCAAAACTTAAAAATATTTTGAAAGATAATTTGAAAGATACAATCAAAACAACTATAATAGAGATACCAAATTTGAACAGTTTAACTACTAATTAGGAGAGAGCACACTTGAAGATTAAAAATCTGATAGATTTATCTTTCTCGACACTAATAATACTAAAGATTGGAGATCTTCCAGTGTCTAGTATATTGGCTTGACCTACCATTGGGTTTTAGAATTTGTTGGCAAAAAAGAAACATCACACACAATCTAAGCAACCTTTGTATCTATGCCATCATGTCCACGCTATCACGTACGCATAGTCATATACACTCCATTTAGAAGAGAAAGAGAGAAGCTAGAGAAGAGACTGAGAATGAGAATAAAAGAGAAAATTTTACTAAAGAGATTGCATACACAACTGTATGCCCACAAAATTGATGAGATGAAGAAGAAGATGGAGAAGATCATTTTCTCTAAATTTTGGGTTTTTTATGTTTGTACTCTGAACTTTGGATTCTGGGTTAATTGGGTTGAACAATAAAATAAACAAGAAAGAATAATTGGCTTAATTTGGTTGAAGAAAGAAGTTGGAGAAGAAGAGAGAAAAAGGTGGAGATGAAAGTTATCAAGGAGTGAGAGAGATTTGGGAAAGAGAGTTTTTGACTCTCAAGCTCAAAGTGTGATGGAGTGAATCGAAATAACTGCTTGAGATTGGATAATCTTTGACAAAGAAGCATTGTTGTTGGACAGTGTTACCGTAAAACACATGACTATAGAACTGGAATGAGCTTAATTGTGTGGAAGCATATAGACTTAAAATGTTTGATCAACTTTAGATCACGAACAACAAAATGGTTGAAAAGCATATAGCTTGATGGAGTCATAACGACTTGATTTGACCGCATATCAACTGTGGATAGCAGAGGACAGCGGAAAGATGTGTGAAAGCATACAGAGGAGTGATGGAGAAGACAAGTGTATTCATATGTTGCGATGGGCGGCGGCGGATTTCTCAGACTGATTTGGTTGCAGATCTGAACTGAATGATGAGCCGAAACAGTGATGACATGACGTCTAGATTTTAGCTTCTTGATATACTTTTTTTCTTAGAAAATAAAAAAGGTTAAGAAAATGAAATAAATGAAATTATAAAAAAAAATACTATGATAATTTTGATGGTTTAAGAACTGAAAAAGAAAAATGCAGAACAAAAACTTTAATAAAAATGAAAGAAATATGTGCCTTTAACAAAATCAAAAAATAAATTAAATTTGATCGGTGGATCAAAACTCACAAAAATAACTTGCTCTGATGCCATATTACTTTAGAAGAGTATTATGAATTGTGTTGTATTGATATGATGATACTCTCTCTGTTTTAAAATAAGTGTCACTTTGACACTTTTCACATAAATTAAGAAAATCATTAAAAGTTCAGTTTTACCATTTGTTCACACATACAATAACATTCTCTTTCTAATTATAACAATAAAAGTCAAAGGTTAAAACTAAATAATTATTCAAAATTATGCATTGAAAATGTAAAATGACACTTTTTATGAAACAAAAATAAAACTTAAAAATGACACTTATTTTGAAACAGAAAGAGTATTATATAACTATATATATTAGAGCTATAAAAATCGTGTAATAAATAAAAATAATATATTAGAGAAAACAGCCAATTCTCCCATAACTAAGAAATTTGTGATTATCCATACATGATATATGAACTATATAAAATTTTAGGCGTTGCTGATTAGGTTAACACGTCAGATATTGAAATATTACCTTCTTTTTTATTCCATAATTGATAGATTACAAAAAAATAGCAAGTTTTAAAGCTAAAAATTTTTGCAGGTTTTAGCAACAAACAAACTGTAGTTCAGACCATAAAATGCAAGTGTTAAAAATAAATCACCAATTTAGATGATAAACTGCAGCTTTTAAGACAAACATGTTTATGTATTACTATAATATTTATTTAAAATCTGCAACAGACCACAAACTGCAGGATTTAAAAACAAAAAGTTGCAGATTTAGTTATATTATTCTTTTATCATCAAACAGGTTTATGCATTATTTTTGATATAAGGTTAAAAGATGCAATTCAGACAACATGCTGCATGATTAAAGAACACAAAATTGCAGGTTTGGTTATGTTATTCTTTTATCATTAAACATGTTTATGCATTCATTGATATCTAGTTAAAACCTACAATCTAGATAACAAACTGCAGGTTTTAAGAACAAAAAATTATCGGTGTGAGATGATAAAACAATAACCGAGTTATACCACCATAAAACAGTAAAAGAAACATTAACCAATAAGCACTAATCACTAAGCATAAAATACATGAATCTTTGAATCCAAAACACATCAATATCCAACTTTTGAAACAAAAAAAAACAGATCAATATTATTAAAATCTGAGGCGCATTCCTCCTTTCACAAAAGCCTACCCAAATCTGAGTTCCATCATCATGTCTGAACCATCATAAGAACATTCTTCTCATACCAAAATATCATCTTGTAAACCAAAAAAGAACCAAAGACAAACAAATCAAAAACTTGAAACATAAACAAATCAAAAGTTTGAAACTGAGGCCAAATCAAAACATGAAAGTGAAACACAAACCTGAAACTAAAATATCATTCATTCACTTGGCTTTGCGTTGGTTGACTTGATCCCTCACCAAAATCAGATCGATCTTCAGATACTTTCTTCATTTTTGGTGGTCGATGAATAGCTAGTACAACATTTTGACACTTTCTTGTGTTATGTCTACTGTTTCCACATCTTCCAAAGTGAATGGTTCTTCTTTCTCCTGAAATCATTAATAAAAATCGAGTCATCTTCTTACTTGGAGACACATTCATTATTTTGATTCTTATAGGAATTTTCTTTCTTCTTTTTGTTGGTTCTATTTCCGTTGATGGCGGCATAATCTCCACTTCATCAGACTTTTCCCAAAAGTTTATACAACGCACTACCTCAATTGGTTTACTATACTGATTTTCCATTTAAAAGTTAGATAACAATCAGCTATATAATCTGTGCGCTTTTTCTCAGAAATAATCTTTAGAACATGACAACAAGATAATCTTGGCATTTTCCATGTGCAAGTGTGTATAAGCATGCAAACCTTGAATGCAGATTTTCTCTCTCTAACCTTATAGATCTCATTACCAGCAGGAAATACCTTACAATTCCCAATCTTTTTCTGCTCTAAATCTACTCTCTTCATTGCTTTCAGACTAAACTTGCTTTTGTGTTTTATTACTTTACCCCTTCTTGCTTTGATGCGCCGCATTGCTCTTCTGCGTATTGTCTCCAACATTTCAACGAGTAGTATTTTTCTTGCATGGTTGATGGCATGGTTAAAAAACTCGGAGATGTTGTTACTCACATCATCACATGAAGATGTTGGTGTGAAGTAAGCAAGGTTACAATTTTCTGAATTCTTATGCATCATAGATTGATGAACATTCATGTGATATGCCTTTACTTCTTCCATTTTTTTCTGCATTGTGGTCCATTGTAGCTCTTTGCAATCTTTCAGAATATCGCTTTTATGTAAGTCATGTTTGGATGTTTCTTTTTTAGGTTTGCATATAATTTTCTTGCACACATCCTATACTCAACCTCTGATAGCATATCAATAATCAAATAATCACCAACTGATGTCTAATGAACCCGCATCATTTTCACAAAAACAAAACTAAACTCATGAAATACTTTTTGCCGATCTGCTATAACTGTAAAGTTATCACCATCTTTGAGATTCAAATCTGTTTGGAGCTTTTGAATGAACCATCTCCAATTGGGTTCATTCTCGACATTAACAACAACCCAAGCAATTGGGAACATTTGGTTGTTTGCATCTCTTCCAACTGCTGCTAACAATTATCTTTTAATTGTGCTTTTAAAGAAGCAACCATCAAGACCAAAAATAAGTCGACAATGGAAGCACCACTTTTTGGAATGGTTCTTCATAAGAAAAATAAATTTTCCACATAAAGTCTTCATTTCCTTCTTCGGCTTCACTTGAACATCTGAGTTCAGATTTGTCGTTCTCCCAACGAACATATTTCACATTCCATCTTTTCTTTACGACATAGGCTAATATAACTTGTTTGATATCCTCTAAATTGTCAAAAGCTTGTCTTAACTTCAACTCACCATTGCCTTTCTTGTATCTGAAATAACGCTCTGTCACATTATCATCTTCTTCAACATCTGAGCATAGAGGTGTAGCATACTTATCAATCTCTTCATCAATAAAATCTGCCACATTCATTTTATCGCTTGCTTCTTCATCAAACTGATACGCATTACTTTCAACTCTGCCAAACTTGCCATCATAGTAACAACTAAAAGTAATCGGTGTGTATACTTGATCACTGCAAAAAGTAGCATAAATTGAAAGCACTTTAACCTTATTGACACATTTCATTGAACACTTGGTGGACATGTTACTATCTCACTCTCAAATCATAAAATATCGAATATAAGTGACAACACTAACATAAATTAATGAATCTAGATGTAAACTAGACCTAAATGTATACTAAAAACTAAAAGTTTTGAAAACATCAACCTCCACTTACCACATTGCCGAATTCTCCCACGAGAGACAATTCAAAATCCAATTCTTCAGCTTATTTCCTGATATGATCATGGATAGCAGCAAGGAACTTGGAGCAAGAATCAGATGAGTTTGTAGCTGAGGATGAGCTTGTAGCAGAAGATGCTCTAAAGACGTCAAGTGGACCTATGACTCGATCTAGAGCCAAGACATTCAACCAAGCCATTGGGGGATTACTTAAACACGTTTGGAGCCAAACAAGTCATAATAAAGACATGATCAACACGCTCTTAGTCTCCATACAAGCTAAGTGATTTAACAAATGGATAAGTGATTCATAGGTGCTCTTTTTCCCTTACATTTGGTTTTGTCCCAATGGGTTTTCTAAAGGAAGGTTTTTAATGAGGCTTATGTTTCACTTCATGATATTCCATTTTGTTAATCATAACTAGACATATATTCTATTCTATTTTCGTGGCCAAAGGGAGTGCAAGAGTTATTTTTGAATTCAAATTTTGTTTTAATTATTTTGCTAGTTTTCGAGATTAGTCTTAGAGCATGTTCCAAAACTTGTCTTAATTACCTCTTTTTCTTCTTTTCTTCTCTTTCTCTCCTCTTTATAACCTTTCTTGTACTCTGGACGAAATCATATTTCTTTTTAATAATCAACAATATCACGATGAAATATCGACACCCTATCCCTATATTAGATGTTATGCTTGATGAGTTGCATGGTTCTACCATATTCTCTAAGATTGATTTAAAAAGTGGGTATCATCAGAATAGGATGAAAAAGGGTGATGAATGGAAAACTGCTTTTAAGACTATGCATGAGCTTTATGAATGGTTAGTTATACAATTTGGGTTAACAAACGCACCTAGTACATTCATGAAATTAATGGATCATGTTCTAAGAGCATTCATTGGAATTTTTGTTGTGGTTTACTTTGATGACATCTTAATTTACAGCAAGAGTTTATCTGATCATATAGAACATCTAGAAGCTGTTTTGGACATTAAGAGAAAAGCTTTATGCCAACTTTAAGAAATGTACTTTCTGCATAATCTTGTGTTTTTAGGCTTTGTTGTGAGTACAGATGGAGTTAAGGTTGACGAAGAGAAAGTTAAAGCTATTAAAGACTGGCCAAGTCCAAAGACAATGGGAGAAGTAAGGAGTTTCCACAGCCTTGCTGGATTCTATAGGCGATGTGTTAGAGACTTCAGTACCATTGCTGCACCCCTCACTGAGATAATCAAGAAGGACGTGGAATTCAAGTGGGAGCAAGCACAAGAGGACGCTTTCCAATCACTTAAAGATAAGCTTACTAATGCACCTCTTTTAATGTTATCTGGTTTCCATAAAACATTTGAGATTGAGTGCCAGGAATGGGGATTGGAGCTGTTCTAATGCAAGATAAGAAGCCTATATCATTCTTTAGTGAGAAGCTTGGAGGAGCTACATTGAATTACCCAATATATGACAAGGAGTTGTATGCTTTGCTTCGAGCTCTCCAAACATGGCAACATTACTTATGGCCTAAAGAGTTTGTCATACATACTGATCATGAGTCACTCAAGCACTTCAAAGGGCAACATAAACTCAACAAAAGACATGCAAGGTGGGTTGAGTTCATTGAGACATTTCCATATGTCATCAAGTACAAAAAAGGTAAAGATAATGTAGTTGCTGATGCATTATCTCAAAGGAAAGCTCACGGAGAAGGACTAATGGGACACTTTGGCATTGCTAAGACACTGGAAGTAATGAGAGATCACTTTCACTGGCCTCATATGAAACATGATGTTGAGAGGATTTGTGGAATGTGTAATACTTGTAAGCAAGCTAAGTCAAACGTGCAACCCAACAATTTGTATATTCCTTTGCCTATTCCTACTCATCCCTGTAATGATATTTCTATGGAATTTGTGATGGGATTACATAGGACTAGGACTAGGACTGGAAAAGATTCTATATTTGTTGTGGTTGATAGGTTTTATAAGATGTCTCATTTTATTGCTTGTCATAAAACTGATGATGCTAATCTGTCCTTTAAAGAAGTAGTCCGTTTGCATGGGATGCCTAAGTCTATAGTTTCTTAGAGACACTAAGTTCCTTAGTTATTTTTGGAAAACTCTTTGGTCTAAGCTAGGAACTAAGCTCTTTTTCTCTATTACATGTCATCCGCAAACTGATGGGCAAACAGAAGTGGTTAATATAACCTTAGGGGCTTTGATAAAGAAGAACTTAAATTCTTGGGAAGAATGCTTGTCTCATATTGAATTTGCTTATAATCATGTTGTGCATTCTGCTTCGAAGTTTTCTCCTATTTAATTTTTTTATGGGTTTAATCCTATCTCACATTTGGATCTAATACCTTTACCTATGGGGAAAAGAAGGGTGAAATAGTTCAACAGATCCATGAGAAGGCTAGAAGGAACATAGAAGAGAAAAATATGCGCTAAACTAATTAAGCTAACAAAGGAAGGCACAGAATGGTCTTTAACGGTGGGGACCAAGTTTGAGTTTACTTATGAAAGGAGAGGTTCCCAAATGAGAGAAAATCCAAGCTTATGCCAAGGATTGATCATCCATTCAAGATCACCAAGCAAATAAACGACAATGCTTATCAACTTGTTCTACAAGGTAAGTATAATGCAAGTTCAAGTTTCAATGTTTCTGATCTATCCCTTTATTGCAGATGAAACAGATTTGAGGTCAAATCCTTTTCAAGAGGGAGGGGATGATATGATCATGGATAGCAGCAAGGACTTGGAGCAAGAACCAGATGAGTTTGTAGCTGAGGATTAGCTTGTAGCAGAAGATGCTCTAGAGATGCAAGTGGACGTATGACTCGATCTAGAGCCAATATATTCAACCAAGCCATTGGGGGATTACTTAAACACATTTGGAGCCAAACAAATCATAATAAAGACATGATCAACACGTCCTTGGTCTCCATACAAGCTAAGTGATTGAACAAATGGATAAGTGATTCATAGGTGCTCTTTTTCTCTTACCTTTGGTTTTGTCCCAATGGGTTTTCCAAAGGAAGGTTTTTAATGAGGCTTATGTTTCACTTCATCATAGTTGATTTTGTTAATCATAATGAGGCCCATATTCTATTCTATTTTCGTGGCCAAAGGGAGTGTAAAAGTTATTTTTGAATTCAAACTTTATTTTAATTATTTTGCTAGTTTTCGAAATTAGTCTTCGAGCATGTTCCAAGACTTGTCTTAATTACCTCTTTTTCTTCTTTTCTTCTCTTTCTCTCCTCTTTATAACCTATCTTGTACTCTGGACGAAACCATCTTTTTTTTAATCAAAAACCTTTTCTAAAGAAGATCATCTTATTGGTGGGTATATCCAGCAAAATCCTTAGACTATTTGGTGTGTATATCCAGAGTTGTTTAAGCCGTTATCTTGAAGCTCTTTCCACAAGCTTCGCTGATAACCATCAATCATTCAAACCATCATCCATCATCACTGCCTCACAGCCACCTCTATCCATCTCTCAACTTGATAAGTGCAGATTCCTTGGGAGGATCATATTATTTCCCCACACTCAAATTACACATTTGTTAATCCATTTCAATCGATGCTCATAAAATCAGAATAACCCTAACTCACAATTCTGGCATTTAATTGGATTTTGCCTTTTCATCTCCAACTCTCAATCCATCGAAGGAAAAGATGAACTCCAAACTGCAACATAAGGAGAACGACACCGTTTTAGTGTCTCAGGCTTAAATTAATAAAAGATCAGCTTACAAATTAAGGCACTTTACCAATCTTTGTTACAAAATAAGGCACTTTAGAGTAGTAGGGCACTTTGAATGAATTTTGTGACTTTAACTAACCAAAATGTCATTAATATGGATGTTCATGGTGGTTTACAAATCATGATAAGAGTTTTGGTTGTCAACAATGAGTGTGGCATAAGGATAGATGGAGACAACTTGGTGTACATGTTGGTATGTCCACGGTGGTTTACAAATCGTAAATAGAGTTTGTCTGTCCATAGTGAATGTGCCATATGGATATACGTAGACAACAAGGTATATATGTTGGTATGTCCACGGTGTATCCATATGGATGTCCCAACCGAAAACATTGAAACTTTAAAATTTCGATATGGTCCAATCGAGTCATATAGACGAGCTGCTTTAAAATTTGGTGTTTGCAGCGGATTGTTGCGTTGGAAAATGATGGTGGCTCGAGAAAGTCAAAATTGGAGATTTGGAGACTTAAAAGGCATATGAAGTTGAAGAAGTCGAAATTTAAGAGGAATAAAACGCCTAATCGATTTAAATGAGTGGAGAACTAAAAGAATATAACAACACAAAATATGAAGAAGAGAATATGTAGAATAGATGAGGAAGAGAAGATTTTTCTAATAAAGAAAAGATGAAAAGAAAATAAAGAACCGATGAGGAAGAGAGATGAAGAGAAAATAATACAAAAGAAAAATAAGAGCAATACAGTCTTTTCTAATGTTCAAAGTATATTCTTAAGTGTCTTTTTATTATTTTTCTTCTTGAAAGTGCCTTTTAGTGTAAAATTCTCTTAATAAAACTGACGTTATTTTATAAATACATGTGTTGTCCTAATCAACAATGTTTAATAGTCCAATTAACGCCATTTATGGTTTTGATGGAATAAACCATATATCTATCGATCATGCAGTAAATTCAAAATTTTATATAGTTCATGTAGTTTATAACATTTTAACTACTATTTGAGAAGTAGTTTAAGTTAAAAAAACTGACTTGTCATCACTATAACAAAAGTTAGTGCATATCAAATATGACATGAA